TCCCTCCCAACCCCCAACCTTCCCTTTGAATCCGACCTCTCGAGTGGCGCAAGCTTGAAACTCGTTCTTCGTGTTTAGTGCTTTCTGCAAAAGTCCTAACTGTGGACCAACTCCAGTGGAGAGGCTTGTCTATGCCTAGCCGCTGCTCCTTGTGCTTCAATGATGAGGAATCCAACTCCCACCTATTCTTATCTTGCCCCTTAGCTTTTGAGGTGTAGGGTAAAATTCTGTCACTCTTCGAAATTCGGTGGGTCACTCCCAAAGGTGTAGCAGCAATCCTCAGTGCTATAGAACCTTTCCCGTGGCCAAAATCAGGGATCCAACTTTGGAAAACGGCAGTAACAGGAACTTTGTGGGCGCTCTGGATTGAGCGAAACCAGAGGATTTTTAGAGGATAATCCTCAACCCCAAACATCCTCTTCGCCAAAATCAAAGCAAACCTGATTTTTTGGGCTTCAAACCACAAATACTTCAAAGGAGTGGTCCCATCAGCTTTCCACCAGAATTGGAATGCGTTACTTAACCATTCAAAAAGAAATGCATCTAGAGCCTCTTACTGGTTCCCGCCTGACCCGGGACACTTCAAACTCAACTTCGTTGGGTGTTCTTTAGGGAATCCAGGTCCCTCAGGAGTAGGTGTCATCCTCAAGAACCACTTGGGGGAGCCAATAGCAACTATCTCCAAATTTATAGGCCACAAGGAATGAATGGAGGCAGAAGCTTTGGTACTATTAGAGGGCATGAGGCTTCTCTCACAACATAGGATTGAATCGGTAACAGTAGAGGGAGATTCCAAGAACGTGATCACCTTGGCCCAGAACTCTTCTTCCTCCCCTTGGACTCTATTTAACATCTTTGACGAAATATCCCACCTTGGCAGGGGACCTCGGGTCGTATGGAAGCACTCGTGGAGGGAAGCAAACCACAACGCATACACCCTGGCAGCAACTGGTGAAGGAGTTCCTTGATTTTGTTTGGCTCTCTTCGTGAAGGACAACTTGTTTTGGATGGGTTTCTTTTTCTTGGTTGCTTTGTTTTCTATGTGACTATAAAAAAGATGGCCTTTTAATTCTGCCTTCTATCTCTCCCCTCTCTTTCTCTTCCCCCCTCTACCTAGCCTCCTGTGGCTAGGTTCTACCTTCTTACCCTGTTGGGACTCTTTACTATATATATAAAAGTTAACATTCTAAAAAAAAAGACCTTGAAGAGGGACCGAGCCCCAGGCCCCAATGGATACCCAGTGCCTCAGTTCAAAATCTTTTGGGGCACCATTCGTCCTGACCTGCTTGTTTTCTTTGACAAATTCCACTCGAGAGGCATGTTTCATAAGGCCATGAATGCCACATTCATTGCCTTAATTTTCAAATTTCAAGGGGGGCCAAAGAGCTCAAAGATTTCAGGCCAATCAGCCTGGTTAATAGTTTCTACAAAATTCTTTTCAAGGTTCTTGCCTCTAGGTTAAAGGAGGTCCTCAGCTGGGTCATCTCTCTGACCCAAGGGGGACTTTGTCAAGGAGCTCCAGATCCTTGATGGAGCACTTGTAGCCCATGAATTCATCTACTCTAGATCCCTGTCTAAAATTCCAGGCGTGGTCATCAAACTCATATGGGAGAAAAGCTACAATCATGTTGACTGGGATATTCTAGATGAAACCCTCCGTAGGATGGGGTTCAGGCAATGTTGGAGAGGCTGGATGCGTGGAAGCATTTCGATTTCTTTGTTCTTATTAGTGGTTCCCCCAAAGGATTCTTTCCTGCCTCTAGAGGTCTCTGACAAGGCAATCTCCAATCACTTTCTTTTTTGCTATTGGTACTAAAGTGTTTAGTAGGTCCGTCTCCAGAATGTATCACTCTGGCCTCCTCAAGGGCTTCGCAATAGGGAGTCAGGGCCTGTGATCACCCACCTAAAATACGCCGACAATACCCTCTTTTCTGTAATGCCTCTACCCAAGAAGTTGACTTTGTTCTCCTCTTCCTAAAATGCTTTGAGATGGCCATTGGATTCAGGTTTTAATATGGCCAAGTCCAAGATGATAGGTATGTCCACCAAGGTTATGTAATTCATCGCCTGGCAGACAAGTGGGGCTGTACGGTTGATGACCTGCCCTCCCCCTACCTTGGCATTGTGCATCGGTATTGCCCAAGTTGCAACAATGGAGCCACATTATCGACAAGTTCGATTGTAGACTAGATGCTTGGAATACGAAGGTTTCTTTCCTCAGCAGGGAGAAACCCTCATCAAGGCCACCCTTTCCAACATCTCATCTATTGGGCGAATATGTGCTCGCCCAAAGCCCAAGGAGGCCTAGGTATTCGCAGTCTCAAATCCAACAATCTAGCTCTCCTTGCCAAGTGGTGGGGGCACTTTGCCATAAGATAATCACCTCTGGAAAGAAGTCCTCTGGCATAAGTATCGCTGCGGAGCTTCAGCTTGGCTCCCTAACTGCAGGGCCAGCAGCAGATCCTCGGGTCTTTGGAGATCCCTCCTTGTAGCCACAATTTCTTCTTAGTACATATCTGCTTCCAACTGTGAGAAGGCAATAGCGTCCTTTTTTGGTTGGACATCAGGATAGGACGCTCTCCTTTGAGGGAACGCTAGCTCTTGACACCCAGGCAACTGTGGCTGACCACTTCAATTTGTTGGGCCCTGCTAGAGTCTAGAACCCCAACTTTAGGAGGCCCATTATTGACCACGAGATAGAAGATTTCTTGGCCATGTCATCCCTCCACTCCGTCTTCCTCCCACACCACGGTGCTGACAAGATTATTTGACCTGGCCCCTCGGGAGTTTTCTTGGTAGCCTCATTCTACCGCAAAGTCACCTTGCCTCCTACCCTGTCAGCAGCACCCCTTTCAATAGCTGCTAAAGCCTGGTTTCCCTTTATTCCCTTCAAGATCCAAGTCTTCAATTGGATTGCCCTCTCCAAGAGAGCCTTGACCGTTGGCCAGCTTCAAAGAAGGGGTCTACAAATACCCAACAGATGTGTCATGTGCACTGAGGAGGAATAAATCAACACACACCTCTTCATCCACTGCTATTTAGCTAGATCCATTTGGGGAGACCTCCAACTTTTCAACTGGTTGTTGGTGACTCCAAGGACATCTATCTGCCGCCTTCCTCTCTCTAATGCGGTCCAAGTCGGGCGTACTACTTTGGTAGGTATCCATGGCTGCCATGCTGTGGGTCAGTGTAGGAAAAATCGGGCGGTTCAAATTCTAACTGTCCTGTTAGATTGGAATCGGCAAGTGGCCGGTTCTGATTTCGGCCTGTTTTGGTGAACCAACAGGGTATTTTAAAAAACAAAATGAAAAAAATTATATAAATTCCAAAAAGTAAGGGATTTTGTTTGTAATGCATTTTTTAATTTTTTTTCGTCATTTTGGAAAAGATTGGAAATTGTTTAGGCCATTAATACCTATTTTTACATTTTCCCATCTTTTTTGGAAAATTTCAAAAATACCCTTGGGCATAAATTGATTATTTAAAATCTATTTTTTTCATTAATTTTCAACTTTATTTGGATGTTCCTTGTTTAATCATGATTAAAATATACTTTTTCATATTTTTTTAGATTTGTTTTTGTATGCGTTTTATTTTTTTTAGCACTTGTTTTACTGCCTGGCAATTGTCCGGTTAGGCCGGTTGAATCGGCCGGTTTACCGGTTAGGCCGGTTGAACCGCTTCCGGCCCCATGTCCGGTTAACCGTTCCGGTTCGATTTTTCCGACACTGCTGTGGGTCATTTGGAACGAGAGAAACAACATGATCTTCCTCGGGGAGAGGGCTACACTTGAAACCTTGAAGGACAGGGTCAGAACTTTGGTCACCTTTTGGGCCAAAAACCACAACTCATTCAAGCACTTCTCCTATACAGATTTTCACCAAGACTGGCAGGTGATGCTGTACCTGAGGTCCACTAGAATCCCACGTGCCTATCTGTGGACACCGCCTGAACCCGGCCAATCCAAGCTAAACTTTGATGGCTGTTCCCAACTTCGATGGCTGTTTCCTTGGCAACTTGGGCCCTTCAGGCATTATGGGTATCTTTAGAGACAAGGATGGGTGTACTCTCTTCTCCTTCTCTGAAGTCATCAGGCACAGTGATTCTAACACTGTGGTGACTATGGCTTTCTCGAAGCCCTCAGAAACTTCATTCCCTGTCCAGAATTGGTCGTCGAGGGAGAGTCCAAAAATGTCATTGCCTGTGCCTCCTGTTCCTCACCCTGCCCTTGGAAACTCGGCCATATTTTTTATGAACTTTACCATATCTGCAGGCCTGTGCCCGTCTCATGGACACATACTAGGAGAGAAGCCAACGCAGCAGCCGACGCCCTTGCTAAGGAGGGCGCAACAAGAGACGCCATGCAGGGGAATTTTGGCACCTTTTTGAGCTCATTGTCCCCCCATTTTTTGTATCTAGTCCTATTCTTCATCTTCTGGATGTGGAGCAGTTTTTTGAGTCCCTTTGAGGGTTTCACCCAGCTTGTGGGCTGCCTAAACTCTTGTAATTTACCTAATACAACAGTTTATCAGATTTAAGGGGGGAAAAAAGACATTTATATTTCTCAGAAGGGGATGATCAGTTATTGTTATTTTCTGTATCAAGAAAACACAAGGGATGTTTTTTGGGTAAAGGACGGTTTGATCATTATTTACTCATTTTGACATACATCACTGAATTTCTAGTAGAGTAATTTAAGTTGGAATTTTTACCCTTACCCTTGGTGTGCTAGCAACAATACAGGATATCAAAATTCCCATGATATTCATTCAGTGAATGGGAATTCCCTTATACGTACTTGGAATTCTATTAGAAGGTAGAATGTATTCAAGATCTTATAGGTATGACTGACATGGGGTCTTTAGAATGATCACCAAGATACTCTGCTCACATCATACATGCCCATGTTTGAAATTGAACCTTCTGTGCTCTATCTTAAATTAGCAATCTGCGTGTCAAAGTGAAAAGCACGAGTCCTAATTTTCTTATCTGTGTTTCAGCCATAGGAAATTGGGTTGGTTGGTCAAGAACAGCCAAGGTGGCGGACAATTGAACTCTCCTGAGAGAAGTGGAACTCGGCTAATTAGAGCCCTCCGAACTTTTCAAATCAGGTTGATTGCCAAGATCGAGGAGTTGAAGAAGGGTTTCCCTAAAAAGTTACTTTGCTTGCTTGTTGGGTTCTATTGTGCAACTGCATTTGCCACAGTGATAGGGCAAACAGGGGATTGGGATGTGTTATCTGCTGGTTTGGCAGTGATGGTGGTGGAGGGGATAGGTGCTCTCATGTACAAGGCTTCCTCTCCTTTGTTTGAGAGGCTCCGGTTTTTTATCACTTTGTTTAATTACTGGAAGGTTGGTCTCTCTCTAGGCCTCTTTTTGGACGCCTTCAAATATGAAATGGATGCAATTCTTGGGTTCATTACTGAACCCTTCAATTTTGAAATAGATTTGTTCCCGATGTTCTTATAATAGTGGTTTAATAAGAATATTGGATGTAGGTTTCTCCCCCAATGCCCCACCGCGGCCCTCCGTTTCTCTTTTTTCTTCTCTTTTCTTGTTTGGTTTTCACTTTTTCCCCCTTTGTGTTCCTTTTCTATTTTGTACATGACTTGTAAATATTTGTTATTTCTCTCATTTTTTGCTTTAATTTTTTTTCTGAAAGGTTACTAGATTTGTCTATGCATGTTTTTACCCCGTAACCACTAAACCAACAGGGATCTACATATCCATCATTTTGCATATATTTTCCGTTGTAATTATTCTTTGGTGTATTTTTTTTCACTGTAGTTTTGTGTAGGCTCCTCAATCTGCAATTGTGTTTATGCATCTTGTATCTGTTTTTCAGTACATTTGAACACGTGTTTCTCACTATAATTTGTGTCCATTTCTCTATCTAGAGGGCTCTGATGGATATGAGGTTTCATTTTTTGATTCTTAGTAAGAAAATGATTTTTTCTCCAATTTTCAGGGTTATATGGTTGTTGGATAGGTTTATTTATTTATTTATTTCATCTTGTGTGCTACTGTTTGGCTCTCTTGTATATTGGTTTTAATGTCAGGTTCTTTTTCTCTAAATTGTATGTGTGTCGCATGATTCCCTCTGGGATTTCTGTTTGTTGCTGTTTCTCACATTTTTTTATCTATCCATATTTATTTCCGTGTCTTTACCTCATTATATGTTCATACCTATACAATTAGTTTTTTCTTTATTAGTTATGAATGTAGAATTTGTTGTGGATGGTTACTTCTCTGAATATAATTGTGTGGGTTTCTCTATCTACAAGCTACCTGTGGATTTGTTTCTTTTATCCTAAGTTTCTTTGAACAATACATCTATGCATGCTTCTCACTGAAATTTGGTTTGTGAATCTACAATTGTTTTTCATTTTAATTAAATTCATGTTCCCTCTTTACAATTTTCAGTATTGGATTAGTAGCAGCCATGAGACATGCTAGATATATGAAATGTTAATTCCAAAAGTCCAGCACTCCTTTAAAACGTGCTATAATAATAGGAGATTTAAGGCTCAAAGGCTCAAACTACCTTGTGTTCACCCATAATTTATTTTATATATCCGATCTCCCTTATCTTTGGAATATTTATTTTTAAATGGAGAGAGAGAGTTACCTTCACATCTTTGGATTTTTTTTTATGGAGAGAGAGAGTGAACTTCATGTGGGCTTCTCATTAGTCTTTTTTTTCTATTTGAGTGACATGCTAATCGAAGCAAAAGAAGAAGTATTTACATTGATCTCTATGGACAGGAGACTATTCGTCCAGTCCCATCAAATAATTACACAGTGGGCTCCAAGATTCACATTCCAACATTGTATCCGGTCCCTCCACATTTTCACTTCCTAATAGCATATCTAAATCTTCCAAATAGTCATCTTCATTATTAAATCTATTGTCATTTGTGTATGTAATATTACCATTATTAACACTACTGTTATTATTATTATAACAAACTGTGTTTTCTTCTACCAATTGGGTTTCTGTAAAGTCAAAAAACTTGTCGATGTCGAAGTCTCCGCATTCTGGAAGATTCCAAGGGCTCGAACCACTCGCTGCACTTGAGCTTGCAACCTCTTGCACGGACGGGTGCTCGATGGTGCGATCCTGATGTTCTTTTTCTTCAGTTTTTTTATTTACTTTTTGGTTTAGTTCACTCATTGTTAATGACTTTTTGCTCAAATGAGTATTCCAGTGGTTCTTGATCTCATTATCAGTTCGTCCTGGTAGTCTTCCAGCTATCAACGACCATCTGCTCTAAAGAGAGAATAATGAGAGAGAGTAGCGCGATTTGGAGAGAGAGAGAGAGAGAGAGAGAGAGAGAGAGATCACCTGTTTCCAAGTAAATTATGAAGTCTTATGATCAAATCGTCCTCATCTTCTGAGAAATTCCCTCTCTTAATATCAGGCCTCAAGTAATTCAGCCATCTCAACCGACAGCTCTTACCACACCTGTTTAGCCCTGCATAAGTAAAAGGGTAACAAAATATGGTTAACAATATGCGCGTTAAGAAATTTCAAAATTCAAAAAAAGAAATTGCACTCTTTTTTTTCCTTAGTTCAACAATAGGAATCGAACTTGAAATATAACATTGCTAATGTCAACTGTTAATCACTCGAGCCTACGCTCAATTCACACACTCCACAATGTGTGCGTTTGTGTGTAATGCAGGCTCAAGCAACACAAAATGGAGTTTTGAAAATCACAATGGATGCAAAAAAAAGGAAAAGAAAAACAATTGGAGTGTATATTTAGCAGTGAACCTGCCCTAGCAGGCAAAGATCTCCATTTCTTTTCTCCATGGACCTTTAAGTACTCCCTCAGTCTTTCATCTTCATCAGCCGTCCATGCTCCCCTATTAATCTTTCCACCCGTGTAGCACTTTGCCTTCACCATCTCTCTCTTCTAAGCTCAACTTTCCCTCCTCTCTTTCCTTTCTCTCAAATTTGAAGTCCACCCCACTCCTGTCTTCTTTGGTCACCTCCTAATATATAATATTGTGCCCTTCCTCTCTCACGTGCCAATCTACCGCCCCACTTCCCTACCTAAAAAATATTGAGTATTTAGATTTTATTTTCCAAATTAGTTGGGACCTCTGGGGCTATTTTGTTTATTATTAAAGGATACGAAAAGCTACTCTTCAACCAAGAGTTGGGTGATCCTAGGTTCAGGCATATGAATATAGGACATGTTGATTGGTGTTTTCAATTATTTTCTAGTCGTTTATTGTCCAAAAAAAAAAAACACTTCTTGACATTGTAGGAAATAAAGAGCTTGCTCTTATGATGACCTTTTTGTAGCCATACAGAAATAATGAAATGCTTGTAAACATAGGGTGTAGGGACCATATGTAACTCATCTACCCTTCTAGCATTTACTTCCCTTGTCAACTACCACTGATACAAGGGGTGGGGATTCTAAAATGTAGAGAGCACGTGCAACAGGAATCCTGTTGGGTCTTGTGGTATAGTTACAATTGAGAAAAGGCTAAAATGAAGGTGATGATGGTGCCAATAGTACGGTAGCTTAAATAATACAACAACATTAACCATTGGAAAAAAATATATAGTAAAAATGTGGTGAAACTGGTACCGGTAACATTAGAAGGATAACGCTCCTAGATGAAATCGTACATTTGCTCTATCGGGTAAAACACTTGATAGGAATGTTTTTGTGATACCAAATATTGGGGATGTAGCCTACTCAAATTTGTAAACGACCCTAGAAAAAAAAAAAAAGTCATAAAAGATACCACCATAGTACAATTAAAAAAAAAACACGCCATAGGATTGAATAGAGACCATCCATTTCTCGGACGGTCATCTATGTGTTTAAGAACTCAAAAATCCTTTTTTGTTTTTTGAGATTAGGATTTTTGTTTTTTGAGATTACTCATTCGGTGATTCTAAAGTGGATCCACGAATTTTCATATGAAAAAATCTTCTTAATTATGTTCTTTTCCGCAGGGAGCAATTCTACATAGTGTCCTTGCCCCAGCATTAGAAGTAAAGGTTGGCCACGGGCTGGGTCGGGACGGGCCATGACAACTTGGCCTTGGCCCTGGCCCGGTCCCTATCTCCATGGTGCCGGCTCACTGTTAGGGCCATACCGAGCTAACCAAGCCAAACCGGGCCACCACTAAGCCTAGCCTAAGCTAGCCCTCGGGCCATAGTTTCTAGCCAAAGCTTACTTTTTTAGGGTTGGGCCAACTGGACCGGGCCAAGCCGCCTCGACTATTGCCAGCCCTAATTAGAAGGGCAAAATTTCATATACTGCATGTACATAATGTACACTTGCATCTTGTCATCATGATTGATGGACAGATGATTAGGGATGCTTAACTAGACTAAAGTGCCCATCAGCATCGAGGGTGCTGAAGATTCATTCATGTGCAGTTGTGCACAATAAACAGGGTCTCATACTTAAAATAAATAATCATAAGAAAAGAAAATAGCCATCATCATCAAAGAAGGTACTGAAAAGTGATTCACCACTTCTAGTTCAGTGAATCTTCATGTACTTGGTGGTAAAATTGCAATTTAATTCCATGTGTAACTTTTAATTGGGGAGAAGCCAAATTGCCATTACACCATTCCAAATTTGGGGATCTTTGTGTAGTTGGTTGCTTACGTAACCTAGCCCCACAACTACTCTTGATTAATGTAACTACCTCTACCCACCTTTCTCATTCTTCTTTATTTTTCATTCAAATTTTATTTAAAATGAAACCTTTGAGTTGTTGGGGTCAACCTAAATATAAGGTAGACGCCAAACACTCACTACCTACTCTTCTGCAAGGCTTTGAGCTCATAGGGTGTCCATTTGACTAGTCGAATGAACGAACTCATAATGTTCATGGAGGTATGCTAATAAATCATAATGTTTATGAAGGTATGCTAATAATAATAATAATAATAAAGACCCAATCCCTTTCACAAGTTCTTGGAATTCAAATTCGTTTTAATAGAAAAAATGCATAATAAGATTATTTACTTTTGGGACAAGGTCACGGCTGGATTTGAAATTAAGCGTCTTGGAGTGTGCTGTTCTCGAAATTCAAATGAAAATTTTCCGAACCTAATGACACATCTCAAGATCATGGATTGGATGATTGAGAGTCGTCGTGACCACCTCATGCCAAAAGTACCTAAAAAATAGCTCCATATGAAAGAGGGAGACACAATCCCTATTATGTCCTGCCATCTCAACAAATTTGCTCAATTAATATCATGAATTCCTTGTAATTAATTGTAGCTTAGGTGGTTAATCGCTCCTTACACGTCCGTGTAATTAATTGTAGCTTACGTGGTTAATCCGTCCGTACACGTCATCATTTGAATGGTGCAACTTCCCTCCTACCAAGCGCGAATCTTTCCTCCTTTTTAATGGGCTCCTCTAGTCGTTTCAAGGGCACTCCAATCACTAGATAGGTCAGATCTCTACCCCCTAAGCCTCATCTGTAGAGGCCGGCCGAGTGGTGCGTGGGTGGTCAAGGTTGTGGTCCAAGAACCCCCTCAATGTATCAACCTATACATGTGGTACCTTGACAGAACCAGTTATCATTCATGACGATCCAATTCTTTAAGTCGACAACACTATATGAAAATGATGAATACTTCTCTCCTTTGACCGTATGAGAGGTCAGGGTGTGCATGGTGTAAGGACATGTGGCTGATGACTAAAGGCCCTTGGTGCGATACCTTAAGCAAGGTGATGTGGGATGATAGCTATGGCTGATGTGAGCGTGGCTTGGTTGGCATGATAAGATGACTCTTGACTTGGCTAGACAGGGGTGAGCGGTGAGGACTATGGGTAAGAAGTGAGCCATATCCTGGCTAGATAGGTGTGGACAGTGATGGTTATTGTAGGATTGAAATGTGTAACTGCACATGCATGAGCTTTTGAAACGACGATGGGCCATGTGAGAGTAGTAGAGCACTTAATGACTACTTGTAACTAAACATACTGGTACATGGCTAGTCATGACCCTTGATAATGGGTTGATTAGGAAAAGTAATCGACCCCCTCCAGTTAAGGAGCCATGAGGATGTGCATTGAGGTAGTGGGGAGGTGGTTGTAATTGCCACCATAACTGTGGTTAGTTATGCTCATGCCTGACTGACATGGGATTATGGACATCATGGGTGGCTATATATGTAATTGACCCAGAGTGTATGTTGGCCAGGTGGCCTCCATGTGGGTTCTGGTGGTGGCATGACTAACACTTGTCCAATGTACATTTGAATTTGAATTTGTAACTTAGGGTTGTAAGAACATCTTGCCTGGCGATTGATGGAGAGTTCATCACTGTATACATTCCAATTGTATAGTAGAATATTAGTGGGCTACAACCCTTGACTATTGCTCGTGCCTGCCCTCGTGTGTGATCGTGCTCTATTTCTCTTGGATGGGTATGTGGAAGGCTAGTTTAGCCTTGGTTGGCATAGAACTTAGGCTTGGCACTAGGGTTGGGTAGTGAAAATATACCCTGTGACAGTTGGTATCAAAGCCAAAAGATTGGTCAACCAATGTGACTATAGCTGGTGGTATAGCTAAAGTGCGAGACTGTGTCGACCACTCAAGGAGGAGTTGGAGCAACTCAATCACGGGGTTAGGATGATGGGTTGGGTTAGGATTGTATTGTCTTATAGGCCCGGATCAATGCTTTGGAAGCTAAAGTGGAGGACCATTGTGGCATCTGTGTCACTCGTATGGGAGGGTTCATGGACGATCTCAAAGCCACCTCATGCCCCTACAGGAGGATATAGCTCTTGTTAAAAGGGCCTTGTGTGAGGGTGCCAAAGCCTAGGGTATTTGAATGCTAGAGGGACTTAAAGGTGATGAAGAACTTCTTATGGACATGTAGAGTACTTAAAAAATGCTCGTGTCCACAAGGAGGATCGTGTTGGCATATGTACCATCTACCTCGCTGGAAATGCAAAGCTCTAATGAAGGATGCAGTTGGGAGGCATTGAAACAAGAGCTAAAGGATCAGTTCTTTCTAGGCAATGCGGCCTATGTGGCTTAGAAGGCTTTGAGGAAGCTTCAGTAGATAGGCTAAGTGCAAGACTATTTGAAGAAGTTCATGCCGGATATACGAACCATGATTAATAAGGAACGGTTCTTCAACTTTGTGTTTGGGTTGTAGGGTTGCGCCAAGGCCAAGTTGAGGAGGTGAGGATCACGTGACTTTCCAATTTCTCTTTCTCTTTGATCACCTCCTTCTCAAGTCGAGTGCCATTGCGATGCACCACCCTCTCACTATCTAGCCTCGATGTTTAAACCCTGTGGATTGACCATTGAGGTTAGATGGTGAGAATGTGGTGCATTGCAATGACACTCGACTTGAGAAGGAGGTGATCAAAGAGAAAGAGGCATCCCGGGAGGCCTTCTTACGTTGTTTCATATGCGGAAGTGACCATCCAACAAGGGTGTGCCCATAAAAGCAAACTCAATTTGGTTTGACTAGTTGAGGAAGATGGGGAGGCCTTAGCATAGGGCCTGCTTGTTACGCCTGTTGAATACAGTACAACTGGTGCACAAATTTAGGAGTCTGGGCCCAGTATTGATGAGATGATTGATTTTGAGGAATCAAGTAATAACTCTGGTTGGGTTATCATGAGGAGAGCATCAATGGTAAAAGTGGGAGGAGTCATGTGACTTAACATGGGGGAAACATCTTCGACTAGTGAGAGGTGTGATGCAGCAGGTCATCAGTCTAGCTCTAGAGTGGAAAAGAAAAGGAGATTTGGCAACCAACACGAGTTTTGCTGGTATTGGTCAACCTGTAGCAAGCTAGTGCCATGCCATCCTCTTGAAGCTGCAGGTGGCAGCATGGATTGTGGTGGCAGCAACATATCTGACAAGGCACCCAGACACACGGTGACTATGAAAGGGCCTGACCTATTGTGCATAAGTAAAAGTCTTGGAAGCAATAGTGGACCTGGCCAAGCGGGTGAGTGGACACTTGGCAGCA